CTCTGAACTGTGTGAGGGTCAATCGAGAGTGAATGTACGCACGGGAGAGCGTGACTGAACAGGCGAGAACCTTCGACGATTCGTCGACAAATCCTCGACCGATTTTCACCTCACAAGGAGAGTCCTTCTCCTTTGAACTCGATCAGTCATCTCCCAGAGTCAGCCGTCCGTTGCTCAAAAAGGTCGCATTTGTAATTTTCAAAGAAAAGTCGAATTTTCTGAAAAGTACATGTATTTCTGGGGCATGAGCACGATGTGCAACCCGCGTCCGTCCCACTCTCTATCTGTTCGACGAACTTTTAGTGATGGAAGTGTGTCAGAAAGCACCGATTTTAGCTTCGCTGATAAAGACTTTGATGATGGAGTCGTACAGAGAATCCTTTGAAAGGAAAAGAGTTGGGAATCTCAACATTCGCTCAACGCGGCGGTCGGCCATGCTCCTACCTTCCTACGTTCCTTGCTCGCAAGAAGGCTATTCTGAAGGCTAGAAAGACTTCGTCTTCTATTCACTCACCGCAAGTGATTATCTAGTTCAGGCACGCACTCCAAACCTTACCGCGGTTCCGAATGGAAGTTGTTTGCATGGCGCATCCACAAAGAATCTGATCAAAACTTTGCATTTCATCATCGTTTTTTTTTCAACACCCCCTCCGGTCTCTACTGAGACATCACCGAAAGCGGTAAAAAAGGAGTGACACGTTTATAAGCAGTACTTGCAACCAGGGTCAAATGTCCATTGAGATTTTCCCTACGAGGGTCGTATTGTGATGTACATATAGATGGAGATGCTATCCGAGACTTTGATGCCAGGACCGCAACGATGGAAGGCATATGCTGAAAAGGACAGAGCTTATATTTAATAGTAATTTTTAATTTATTTTATATTTTTTATTTCCCTTTTCGCAACACCACGGCTTGCAAGAAACTTTGTTGACGGAGCAAAGAGTGTTTAATGGTGACGAGATCCGACGAGACCGTCAACACCATCGACTGGACCCCTTCAGGTGTCCGGATACAGGATAAAAGATCTGCTCTTCACCATCCCGTTCTGGGATGCGGCACGCATTCCACTTCCATCTATATATAATTCGTAAGTGGCCAAATTGAAGCGATGTCCATTCTAATGACTTGCGGGGCCGCCGATGTGGCAGTCACTGTTTTAACCTCCGAGAGAAATTCGTACCAACAATCGACCCAGACGAAAGGTGGAAGCAATGGTCGGTGCCTATTCGTCGCTAGTTTCAAAAAGTTTTTTACGACGCCCCTCGCCTTCATGAATATTTCCACTAACCGCCCCTCTTCCAAACAATTTTTCAACATTATACCGTCGCGCGCGGGGGGGGGGGAGAGTAATTCTTCCGTAAACCGCAAAAATTCCCTGTTACATTTCCTGATTTTACAAACGCTATTCATGCCCTTCACAACTCTCCAAAATACGACCCCCCCGTGCTACTTGTAGCAACA